TCAGCAGAGCCCAACAGTTTGCCAGATTTGGCAAATGACTGTACATACAGCTTGATTGGAAGCCATTTCACTGGAAAATATACTTGGGGTTATATGCTTAAGAAAAGAGTAGCACATGGTTTCAGTCGATGATCAAGTGGTCCCATTGCTTTTGGCTCCTTATAGGGTCTGATGACAATGGCAAAGCAAAGCCATTTACCTCACATAGGGCAGAAAGCAAAGAGGAGGAGAAGGACACCAGGGTGCCACAGTCTTCAAGGGCATTCACCAGGGGACCTACTACTAGGCTTCCCCTAACAAAGGTTCCACTGCCTTCCAACCCAGGCATTTAGGCCTTTGATACACAGACCTTTGAGAAACAAACTATAGCAGGATGGGATGTGGGTAGCTGGAGGAATTTTCTCAGTGACCATATTCTCCCTCTGGCTTTCAAGAGTTCTTTACACCTCTCTATCCAGGGGTTCCATGTCTATACTCCATCTAGCAGGAGAAAACTGCTCTTGCTTATTACTTGGTTTGATGCTTTTAGTAGAGGTAGGGAAAATTGTTCACTTCTGGTGCTCCAGCCTATCTTAGGATGATGTCATGAGTGAGACTTTCACAACATTCCTGCCCCTAACACTACCCTTTGGTAGCTGAACTCTGTCTCCTATTGACAGGGCCAGGCCTTTGAGAGGAAATTAGTTTCTACCCCTCTCCAGGTGTAGCACATCTCTGCTTTCTCAAAGCAAAGCTCAAATGACAAACACCTAACACAAATTAAGAGAAAAGGAGATCAGGGGTTTGGTGTATTTCTCAGTGGTGCAGCATTTACCTAGCATGGCCATGACCTGGGATCAATCTCTAGCACTACAGAGAGACTGGGGATGAATGAAAGGATGAGAGAGAGAGAGAGAGAGAGAGAGAGAGAGAGAGAGAGAGAGGGAGGGAGGAAAACCAGTCAAAGATGACCAAGATAAATTGAAGTCTGGCTCCTAGTAGAAGGTAGGACATTGAATTATCAGTGTCCTGCAACCTCAGTACGTACTCTTAAAGTGTAAGCCACTCTTCTACTTCCTATTTGAACACTGTGGGCAGTTGTCCCAATCATAATTTTTGGCATTTATTTATTTTTTCTTCTCAGTACATATTTGCAGTACATAATGATTACATTCATCATAGGAAATTGATATATGATTTTCAGGTACAACAAAAAAGTGTGAAAGAAGCAGGTATAAGAAGTGCTTTGGGGAGTTATTTGTAGAAGTCATGGATGCAGTAATGAAGATAGTACATGGCTGCACTAGAAGATGATATGCCAATACATTTCCAGTTGGCCACTGAATAACACATTGGTCATGTGATAAATTTTCCTATATATTGTTTGAGAGAAAGATAGGGGCTGCATGTATTTCTTACCCACATAGGCTTGCCTTGGACAGATTCATGAGAGCACATGGTAAATCTAAGCCTACTCTCCATCTCTTTGTCTCAGGAAGCCTTTTCAGTACCAGCTCTGAACCACTTTTCATTCTAGGTTATTCTGTGTCAACATACTGGAATCCATTTCCCAGGAAACATCGGTAACTGCTGCAGTCCCTGTGGTTTCTGACTCCCTTGAGGAAGGGACCAGGTGTGGAAAAGCACAGAGGAAAACTGAAGTTCTAGCGCTAGAGACCAAGACTAAATATTAGTTTGAGGGTCCAAAGGCAGAAGGAGGAAAATTTCAAAGCAAGAATGTTCAGAACCATGGGAATATGTGATCAAAGAGAAAATAAAGAGCGAACAAGAGAAAGAAGGTGCTGGAACTTTAATACTTGTGAATGCTTTCCATTTCCTTCTTTCTTTTTTTATTTTTGTGGTACCGGAGATCGAACTCAGGACCTTGAGCTTGTGAGGCAGGCGTGGTGCCACTGAGCTAAATCCGCGGCTCTTTCTTTTTTTCTTTTTTTGTATTCTTTTTTTGTTTTTTTTCCTGACACAGGGGATGAGAGCCAGGGTAGTTCTGCCACTGAGCTACTCTCCCAGCCCTTTTTAGTTTTTATTTTAAGAGAGAATATTGTCAAGTTTCCCGGGTTGGGCTTGATCTCATGACTAACCTGCCTCAGCCACCCTAGAACTAAGAGTATAGATGTGCACCAGCACATCTGGATTCCACTTCATTTTTATTGGTTCACAGACACATGCTGCCTGTGATGGCCAAATAAGCTAAATGAGTCAAAGAAACATGGTCTCCAGTTTTAATTACTAGGTGGCCAAGTGATAATGTCCAAACAAGCAGATACTAGAAGAGGAAATATGAGAAGACGATAGGCTTATCCTACGTTTGGTGTGCAATGCATGTCTAAATGCCTGCTAAACTACCAAATATTTGCATGCAAAATATAAAAATAAGGAGCCATCCAGATCATTGAAATGAAAGTGAATGAGGCAATTCAGGATGGCTTAGTAAAAGTAGCAGAATTTCACAAGCGACTGAAACAATAATGATTGTAGCAGGCACTTTGCTTTGGCCTTGAGTTTACAGGAGCTATTTCTAGAGTTTTGCCATTAAATTTACAATTTGACTCTACTTTGTAAATGAATGCTTCATATCATGTTTTAAAAGTACTTTCTAGTAGAATGCACTGCAAACAGTTTTAATGACTCTATACAAATTCATTAGAATTATTTAAAATATTCTAGTAGACCTTGGGAACATCTGCCAGATGCCAAGATGTCAACTGTTTGTTCTAACACTCTGTCATCTTAAACAAGTAATAAGTGTATCCTATCGCACTTCAAATTTTTCATGTGTAAAATAAAGAGTAATAATGATAGCTACGTTGTAAGCCACAGAACAATCTTGAAAATTAAATAAGATGCTAGATATGAAATTATGTCTGTGAATTGGGAAGCATTCTTTGCATGATAGGAATCATTATCACTATATTTAGTGGTATTTGTTAATGCGTATCTCCATAGTATTTTTACAGTCTTCATGTTAGCATCCAAGAGAGAAGTTTATCACCTCTAACAATAATGCTGAAAGATGCCTCTAATGAAAATGATTACATAATAATATAAGTGACATTGGTACAGCTTTTTTTGCACAACAGACTGAATTCTTTGAGGATTGTCTTAGTCTCTTTCTTCATTGCAGAGTCACAATACTTGACATCCACGACTTAAAAGAGGAGAAATTTATTTTGGCTCAGTTTCAGAAGTATCAGTCCTTGCATGGTCAGCCAGCTTGAAGACAGAAGCAGCACAGTGAAAGGGCCTGAGTAAAAGAATGCTGCTCAAAGCATGAAAACTAGGACACAGAACAGGATGGGAGTATGTTTACATCTCTTTTTACCTCTCTCCTCCAAGAATATCCTTGTTCTTGAGCATCTTAATCACTTACCTTTTGTTGGTATTTGACTACAATCATATAAATGCACAGTTTTTGTCACCTGTTCGTGGAGCTAAGAAATATCCAGTCTCCCTTATCATTGTTTCTCCATTGTCTATCTACCATGTGTTACTTTTCACTCTTGCTTAATTTCCAAAGTGTTGGATGCTGCCTTCATTTTTTGACTTTCCCTTCCCTGGATCTGCCCCTGCACGCACCTCCTATCCTAACATTGTTCTCAAAGGGCCCTTGAGGAGGCCACACACTGCTTGGATGACCTCCTCTCTGGTCTACTTGGCAGATGCCCACTTACCTTTTAATGTGTAGCTCAATCTCCACTTCCTCATTTAAAAGTTAAAAGTATATATGAAAAAAGACAAACATCTTATAAATATACTGATTTATATAAAATATTTTTCTAGCACTATATTCTAAATATAAGTGTATTTCACTACCAGTGATTATTTTCAAACTAAGAAATTGCTAAATTTTAATATTTTTTTCTGGTATATTAGCAAAGAAAGAAATAACTAGTAATTGCAAGTATCAATTTTTTTAACCTTTTTGAGTACCAGGTAGATGTATAAAGTAATTCTACTTTCTGTAAATATAAATTATGTTTTTAAATTTTAACAGTTACATGCTAAATATATGGGAAGTAGCTAATATCTCAGGATGGCAAACATATGTGCAGTTTTATTTAATTCTTTTTGCATATTCTCTCTTTTTAAGAAGTATGCACTTTATTGCATTATGGAACCATCTGTTTAAAACTGTAAATTGAATAAATGAAGTATCTCCCTCTTTACAGAACTGTGAAACAAGAATGCTGGTTTCATGTTTAAGCCAGAGAAAACAAAGTGCTTCATTCAGTTAGAGGTATTTTTTCTTATGAGCCAAACTTCTTTCTATAATTAGCTTAATTACATTTATTTTATGTTGTTGGTAGTCCAATATGAAAACATTCTGCCTTAACTTCATGATTTTTCTAAACAGTACATATTCCTTCAGGGCTAGGTTTTATAAGTTTTCTTCTTATTGATTCATTTTAGAAATTGATGTCCACTAATTCCGTCAACCTGTACCAACTACTCTGAGGCAAATCAAATTTGTTAAACAAAATCTTCATAATTCATTTTTCATTTATTTAAATAATTTCCCCATTCCACTGATATTCTCTATTTATTAACTTTTCATCATCCATCTCATCTCTTCTCCTTAACATACCCATTCTACTCAAAATAACTTATTACTCTTGAGATTTCAGATGTACCTTTCCATTGGGTTCCAGCTCTGACATTTGAAAGTCACGTCTGAGACATCCTATAGCTATGTGACTTAGAAGAAGCTACTCAACTTCCCCAAGGTTTTGTTTCCTAATCTATAACATGTAAATCTTCACCTACCTCTTATGCTGCTAGGACTAAATGAGCTCATAGAGTCCAGTTACCTCAAACACTGCATGGCACTCGATCAAAGCAATCTAAAGGGTCACTATCAGACTGTTTGTTGTACTTCCTATCCTAAGACAGTCTCTGACCCCACTGCATCAAAGCAACACTCTATTTGCATTCATCAATTGCTGGAAACAGCAATAGAACCTTGACATGCATTAAGGCCAGGAGAAATGAGTCACACTTAGAGACTAAATCCTTGTGAACATCCTCCACAGGGCGCCCTTCACATCAGGGTTCCTCAGGCTGTAGATGAGTGGGTTCAGCATGGGGCTGATGACTGTGTTGAGGATCCCAATGCCTTTGTCCTTGTCTGAAGCCTCCACTGAACCCAGCCTCATGTAACTGAAGACCCCTGTCCCATAGAAGATGCCCACCACAGTGAGGTGGGAGCTGCATGTGGAGAAGGCCTTCTTCCTGCCCTCAGCAGAGCGGATTCTCAGGACTGCGGCTACTACGTGGGCATAGGACACAGTGATGAGGACCAGTGGAGCCACACCCATAAAGGCTGCTGCAACAAAGAGCAACTTCTCATTCAGTTGGATGCTGGAGCAAGAGAGCTTGAAGAGCTGCCCACCACAGTGAGGTGGGAGCTGCATGTGGAGAAGGCCTTCTTCCTGCCCTCAGCAGAGCGGATTCTCAAGACTGCGGCTACTACGTGGGCATAGGACACAGTGATGAGGACCAGTGGAGCCACACCCATAAAGGCTGCTGCAACAAAGAGCAACTTCTCATTCAGTTGGATGCTGGAGCAAGAGAGCTTGAAGAGCTGAGGGAGGTCACAGTGTAG